AAGGCCAACTAAAAATGCTTAACTAAATTATTTTCTTATTATTACGATATTATTTTTCTCAGTGTACTAATTTACTTGTAGTTCTTATGCTTTTTAATATTTTTTAACAGATAAAGTTCACTTGAACTCGGCTAAATATTAATATTCTTGTTTCAACTTTGAGCTATTCTGTTCTGTCGGATAAACCCTACTTGGAAAAAGGTGGAAAAAATATGAATTGACTACATGTACTAATTTATTTGCAATGCTAATCCTGTTTTATATCTTTAACGTATAAAGTGCACTTAAACTCGGCCAAAGTTTAATATTTTTGTTTTAACTTTGAGAATTTCTGTTCTGTCGGATAAAAACTACGTGGAAAAGGTGGAAGAAATATTATTTGTTTACATGTGCTAATTTACTTGTAGTTCTTATACTGCTTAATATCTTTTAAAGGATAAAGTTCACTTGAACTCGTCTAAATATTAATATTTCTGTTTCAAATTTAAGAAATTCAGTTCTGAAGGATGAATACTACGTGGAAAAGGTGGAAAAAAAATTATTTGACTACATGTACTAATTTGATTGTAGTTCTTATGCTGCTTAGTATCCGTTAACAGATAAAGTTCACTTGAACTCGGCCAAATTTTAATATTTTTATTTTAACTTTGAGAAATTCTGTTCTGTCGGATAAAAACTACGTGGAGATGGTGGAAAAAATATTAATTGACTACATGTACCAATTTACTTGTAGTTCTTATGCTGTTTAATATCTTTTAAAGGATAAAGTTCACTTGAACTTATTTTACGGGGAACAGAAAATTTTGATACTTTTATGCCCATGGTTCGGGAGATTTCAGTAATTTTAAAAAGAAGGTTATTTAAAACAATTTTTATTTCGCAGAGAATGGAAAATAATGATTTTTTATGCCCATGGTTCGGAAGATTTCGGAAATTTTTAAAATAAGGTTATGTAAAGCAATGTTTTTTTCGGGTAATGAAAAATGTTTATGTTTATTGGCCCATGGATCGGAAGATTTCGGAAATTGGAAAAAAAAGATTAAGTAAAGTAAGTTTTGTCTCTTGGGAAATGGAAATTAATAATTTTTTATGCCCATGGTTCGGAAGATTTCAGGAATTTTCAAAAGAAGGTTAAAAAAACAATTATTATTTTACGGGGAACAGAAAATAATGATATTTTTATGCCCATGGTTCGGGAGATTTCAGTAATTTTAAAAAGAAGGTTATTTAAAACAATTTTTATTTCGCAGAGAATAGAAAATAATGATTTTTTATGCCCATGGTTCGGAAGATTTCGGAAATTTTCAAAATAAGGTTACGTAAAGCAATGTTTTTTTCGGGAAATGAAAAATATTTTTTTTTATTGGCCCATGGTTCGGAAGATTTCGGAAATTGGAAAAATAAGATTAAGTAAATTGAGTTTTGTCTCTTGGGAAATGGAAAATAATGATTTTCTTATGCCCATGGTTCAGAAGATTTCAGGAATATTCAATAGAAGGTTAATAAAAACAATTATTATTTTACGGGGAACAGAAAATATTGATATTTTTATGCCCATGGTTCGGGAGACTTCAGTAATTTTAAACAGAAGGTTATTTAAAACAATTTTTATTTCGCAGAGAATGGAAAATAATGATTTTTTAGGCCCATGGTTCGGAAGATTTCGGAAATTTTCAAAATAAGGTTATGTAAAGCAATGTTTTTTTCGGGAAATGAAAAATATTTTTTTTTATTGGCCCATGGTTCGGAAGATTTCGGAAATTGGAAAAATAAGATTAAGTAAATTAAGTTTTGTCTCTTGGGAAATGGAAAATAATGATTTTCTTATGCCCATGGTTCACAAGATTTCAGGAATTTTCAATAGAAGGTTAATAAAAACAATTATTATTTTACGGGGAACAGAAAATATTGATATTTTTATGCCCATGGTTCGGGAGATTTCAGTAATTTTAAACAGAAGGTTATTTAAAACAATTTTTATTTCGCAGAGAATGGAAAATAATGATTTTTTATGCCCATGGTTCGGAAGATTTCGGAAATTTTTAAAATAAGGTTATGTAAAGCAATGTTTTTTTCGGGTAATGAAAAATGTTTATGTTTATTGGCCCATGGATCGGAAGATTTCGGAAATTTTCAAAATAAGGTTATGTAAAGCAATGTTTTTTTCGGGAAATGAAAAATATTTTTTTTTATTGGCCCATGGTTCGGAAGATTTCGGAAATTGGAAAAATAAGATTAAGTAAATTAAGTTTTGTCTCTTGGGAAATGGAAAATAATGATTTTCTTATGCCCATGGTTCAGAAGATTTCAGGAATTTTCAATAGAAGGTTAATAAAAACAATTATTATTTTACGGGGAACAGAAAATATTGATATTTTTATGCCCATGGTTCGGGAGATTTCAGTAATTTTAAACAGAAGGTTATTTAAAACAATTTTTATTTCGCAGAGAAAGGAAAATAATGATTTTTTATGCCCATGGTTCGGAAGATTTCAGAAATTTTCAAATGAAGGTTGTGTAAAGAAATTTTTTTTTTGGGAATTGAAAAAATCGATTTTTATGGGCCCATGGTTCGGAAGATTTTGTTCATTTTTGAAAGAAAGTTTTGTAAAACAATTTTTATTTTAAGAGAATGTTAAATAATGATTTTTATGCCCATGGTTCGGAAGATTTCGGAAATTTTTAAAATAAGGTTATGTAAAGCAATGTTTTTTTCGGGAAATGAAAAATATTTTTTTTTATTGGCCCATGGTTCGGAAGATTTCGGAAATTGGAAAAATAAGATTAAGTAAATTGAGTTTTGTCTCTTGGGAAATGGAAAATAATGATTTTCTTATGCCCATGGTTCAGAAGATTTCAGGAATTTTCAGTAGAAGGTTAATAAAAACAATTATTATTTTACGGGGAACAGAAAATTTTGATATTTTTATGCCCATGGTTCGGGAGATTTCAGTAATTTTAAAAAGAAGGTTATTTAAAACAATTTTTATTTCGCAGATAATAGAAAATAATGATTTTTTATGCCCATGGTTCGGAAGATTTCGGAAATTTTCAAAATAAGGTTATGTAAAGCAATGTTTTTTTCGGGAAATGAAAAATATTTTTTTTTATTGGCCCATGGTTCGGAAGATTTCGGAAATTGGAAAAATAAGATTAAGTAAATTAAGTTTTGTCTCTTGGGAAATGGAAAATAATGATTTTCTTATGCCCATGGTTCACAAGATTTCAGGAATTTTCAATAGAAGGTTAATAAAAACAATTATTATTTTACGGGGAACAGAAAATATTGATATTTTTATGCCCATGGTTCGGGAGATTTCAGTAATTTTAAACAGAAGGTTATTTAAAACAATTTTTATTTCGCAGAGAATGGAAAATAATGATTTTTTATGCCCATGGTTCGGAAGATTTCGGAAATTTTTAAAATAAGGTTATGTAAAGCAATGTTTTTTTCGGGTAATGAAAAATGTTTATGTTTATTGGCCCATGGATCGGAAGATTTCGGAAATTTTCAAAATAAGGTTATGTAAAGCAATGTTTTTTTCGGGAAATGAAAAATATTTTTTTTTATTGGCCCATGGTTCGGAAGATTTCGGAAATTGGAAAAATAAGATTAAGTAAATTAAGTTTTGTCTCTTGGGAAATGGAAAATAATGATTTTCTTATGCCCATGGTTCAGAAGATTTCAGGAATTTTCAATAGAAGGTTAATAAAAACAATTATTATTTTACGGGGAACAGAAAATATTGATATTTTTATGCCCATGGTTCGGGAGATTTCAGTAATTTTAAACAGAAGGTTATTTAAAACAATTTTTATTTCGCAGAGAAAGGAAAATAATGATTTTTTATGCCCATGGTTCGGAAGATTTCAGAAATTTTCAAAAGAAGGTTGTGTAAAGAAATTTTTTTTTTGGGAATTGAAAAAATCGATTTTTATGGGCCCATGGTTCGGAAGATTTTGTTCATTTTTGAAAGAAAGTTTTGTAAAACAATTTTTATTTTAAGAGAATGTTAAATAATGATTTTTATGCCCATGGTTCGGAAGATTTCGGAAATTTTTAAAATAAGGTTATGTAAAGCAATGTTTTTTTCGGGAAATGAAAAATATTTATTTTTATTGGCCCATGGTTCGGAAGATTTCGGAAATTGGAAAAATAAGATTAAGTAAATTAAGTTTTGTCTCTTGGGAAATGGACAATAATGATTTTCTTATGCCCATGGTTCGGAAGATTTCGGAAATTTTCAAAATAAGGTTATGTAAAGCAATGTTTTTTTCGGGAAATGAAAAATATTTATTTTTATTGGCCCATGGTTCGGAAGATTTCATAAATTGGAAAAATAAGATTAAGTAAAGTAAGTTTTTTCTCTTGGGAAATGGAAAATAATGATTTTCTTAATTTTTTCGTACACCCATTAAACATTTTTTTTAGAAACATTAATATGATGATCTAAAAATCTAAAATTCCTTGAACCCTCACAACAAAAGGATATTCAGGATATCCTTGGGACGTCCTGGGGATATCGATTTGTTTTCGGCGGTTTGGATATCCCTGGGATATCTTAGAGATGTCCATGGATATCCAGAGGATATCTTAGGGATATCCGAATCGCCAAAAGCAAATGGATATCCCCAGGACGTCCCAGGGATATCCTGAATATCCTTGTGTTGTGAGGGAAGGAATTTTCAATAGGGGGACAAAATATTGGCGACCGAAATTCATATATTCATGCAGAAACACAAACAATCCTAATTTTTTTGTTGGTTTTTTTTTAAATTCAAACAACTTGAAATAAAAAAAAAAATTTTTAATTTCTAAGCAATGTACAGAATATAGTCCCATTTTATTTATGTAGATAACAGCGGCATATATTTTTCTTTGTTAAATGTATTTCAAATAAGTTATTATAAATTAGTAATTAATAATACTACTGAAAACAGTATAAAATCGAAGTGGTAAACTTCACGTGGAATATAAATTTGACAGTTGTTTGTTTACATCGTAAAAGATTGCATTAAAGAAAGATACGAAAAAATGTTTTATTTAATTTTATGGAACGATAAAAGTATAAGTGTTGTGGAGGATAATAAAATAAAAGAATTTAAATCGAATAATATGGTGTCTGTAAAATGGGGTAGACAAATTTTCGAAGCAAAAATAATTGCCCAACATGGTAAATGTGTTGGTTAAGTATTAAATTTCTTCTTATTTAAAAAATTTTAATTAAACAATTTTAAAAATAAATTTTATCTAAGTTTCTGCCATTAATGTACAATGATTTAATATTTAAATAGCGCATATGAAATAAATAAAGCGCTTTTTAAAAATTAATATTAGATTCTGAAGATTGGTTAAATGGATTAACAGTGAGTTCAGAAGGAATCATTTTAGGAGTAACTTCCGAAAGTAGTGGAAACGGTAAATTGTTATCTATTTTATATACAAAATATTAAAATATAAATTCACAGAATTTCGTTAAACAGTTCATTTTACAATAAAGAATGTCAAATTAACTTTATCAAATATTAGTTTTAATTATATGTATCTATAATTTAGAGATATTATATTTTTGTTCAATATTTGTACAGTTTTTTAATTACGAGGTTGAAAAATAAAAAAAAATCAATTTCTTTTTTAATTTATTATTTAAAAATAGACTAACTTCAGAAAATAATAAGCCTATTTAAAACCATTTCTGACAAGTAGAAGTAACATTAAGAAAAAATTTTAAATTGAATCGTTTTTATGTAAATAGTAATTCTTGAGGTATTTCATAAATTACAAGTGACTAATTATTTTGTTTTTAATATTTTTCGTTTTTTTCGCTCTTTTTAATTATTTATGTCTCATGTAAAATTTAATTTTTACATCTTTCGGTACATGTTCTTTTGAAAGCAATAAACTTGTTTATAGAGTTCTTTTTTATTTTCTTTTTACATTTCAGTTTAAATATTTATAAAGACGTGAAAAGTGTCTCGAAACTTACTATTTCTCACATTTCATTGATTTCAATTTTATTTCTGTAGACAACTCTGAAAGCACAGAATCTGCAGTGCAAGAAATACCAATCCCTGATCGTGACACGGAAAATGATACTATGGGAGAAGTGCATGTTGGAAACAACTTTTATATTACAGAATTGGATGAAAAAAATTTAAACAAGTATATTGACAATCCGAAAAAAATGGTAACCACGCTATTAATTTGTTTAGTAGGAAAAGAGAAATTAAGAAATATGTCACGATCAGGGAAAGGTACACATGAAGCAATACCGGAAGCACTTTTGGAGACTGTTGAAAGTAATATTTAATTTCAAATTATTGCTTGAAGGAAATTTGCACTACCGGTAAAAATTGAGAGACCACCTATTTTAAATAATAACCAAATAATAATTTTGGATTTCACAAATATTATTTTTCAAAGTTTTTTCATTTCTCTGCAAATGGGTGGTTTCTCAATTTTGATCGGTAGTGTACTATATGTACTGTACACATTAGGTGCGGAATACTCTAAAATTTTTTCAGCTTAAAAATTCTACTCATTATATTTTTTGAAAGTTCTTTAAAAGTAAAGAAGGGGTTACACCTTTTATGAAATTGTTTTATAAAATTCTGTTACATAACTTAGTAACTTCTAAAATTAAATGTTTAAAATATTATCTTGTACTACCAGGCACATTAAGTTATTCATAAAAAAGTTTAGCAACCATTTTCCATAATTGAGAAATCGAAATTTTTATTCTTTTTTTTTACTTCTTTTATGTATACCTTGTAATACCTCAAACGTACAAGATGATGTAACTCCTTTGAAGAATTTCACATAAAGATCAAAGTTAAAAATTTTTTTTTTAATTAAAGCATTTGCAGTACTTTAGGACTGTAATTTATTTAGACTTATATTTACTTAGAGGGAGTAGGTAAATGTTTTAGGTTTTAGTTTGGGATTATCGCAATTTATTAATTTCAGGAAAAAATCATAAAATATGTTTATTATTTAAAATCAATCTACACAGTTTGAAAAGTCGAAATAATATTATGTACTATAATTTTATCTTAAGTGTCCTTAACTTCAAAGATCTTTCCAAATTTAGCCAGGGATTTAACCATATAGAAAAGTCGAATAGTGCCATAGTGATCTATTTTCATGCGGACGCCCACAAATATTGATCTAAAAGAAAAAAATTTATTTTTTAAGAATTACCCTCTCATAGTAATACAAATGCTATAAGTTTGGAAAAACTTTTTGTTCACTTAATGTAAAATTTCTCCTTTATTTTTATTTCGTCGATAAATTCATTTTAAGATTATGTGTTTTTATTGCAGGATATGTATTTAATAAATGTTCTGAAAAACTTTCAACATTTCAATTTAAAAAGTGCGTCACAAAATTTTGCAGTAACTTAAAAAGAAAATAAAAGTTATTACATACTTCGTGGAGTTTAATTTTAAGCACAGACAAAATTTGCGAGTAAACTTGAAACTTATAAAAAGTTAAATCGGGCTTGTTTTTTTCCACATTTAAATATTTCAAACAAGGTTAAGTTGATTTTGTTGAAAATATTTGTCGTCAGGTGTTTAAAGTTAAAAAATTTTACTTTCTGTAAAATAATGATTTTCAATAAATAAAAATTTATTAATTAAAAAACTATTGTTTTCTTTTGTAACGTTAATTTCAAAAAAAATTACCTTATCTTCAGTAAAAATATGAGTAATTAACCATAATCATTAATTCATCTTCTGTGCTCATGGATTTCAAGTGGTTACTAAAACTTTTTTGGTTGAAATTTACAGCGCCGTTTTCTACAGCAAATAAAGATTCTTTGTACTTCAGGATAAACGGTTTGATCAACTGCAATTTGTCAAATAAAAAACAATGAGCTAATTAATTTTATGTTGCATTTCAAATCCTACGTTTCTTTTTTTTATTCATGCTTTTATAAAAGCTGCGTTTTACTTCATCGTCGCACTTCCAATTTGTCTTTAATTTCTGAAATGAATTTATAAAAAATTAATAGCGTTATACTTAACTGCAATTAATAAAATTTTAATTATAATTATAAATTGTATATAATAAAATATATAATATTATAATAAAAAAAATTAAAATATATAATAAAAAATAAATAAATAAAAAAAATAATTACTATATTTTGAATAATTAATTAAAATTTTATTATCTTATCTCTATTTTATTTTATTTTCCTGGTTGCAGTATATCGATTTTCATTCATATTTATCATTTTTACCATTATTTGTACAAACAATATCGACGTCATTATTTTCGTTATTCTCATGGTTAACGTCAGCAAGAAAAACAGCAACTAGTAAGATAATCTTTTTCTTTTTTAGCCTAAAAAATACTTTGTTAATTATTGTACAATCAAAATTAGAGCTTATCCACACAAGACGCGATACATAATTTCAAAAATTTAAAACCTATTTTTTCCGTCGTGATATTTTCTTCATGTAGATATTTTGGGTGCACTTCCGAAAACCCCCCCCCCCCTTCCGATTTTAATGAAACTTGGTATACTTACGTAATTTGATGCGCTGATCACGAAAATGATAGTGAAAATTACCGCAAATTTCATTTTTATGGTGAAATTATGTCACAGCAAAGAATGCAGAGGAGGGCGAAGCCCGCCTTCCCTAGTATCGTTGCTCTCTTTCAAAACAGACAGACAGTCCAATTCACATTCTTAATAATTAAAATTTAACTGGTGCAAATGATGCTTTATTTCGCCCTCAATTTGGATCTCAAAATAAATCTCAAATTGGGTCTCAAAAACAATACATTTGCTACATGTATTAATTAAAGTCTAACTTGTCTAAATGAGGCTGTATTTGGTCCTCAATTTGGACCTCAAAATGGATCTTAAATTGGGTCTCAAAAAAATATTTTGGCTACTTGTATTAATTAACATTTCACTTGTTCAAATAAAACTTTATTTCGTAACTTGTCTAAATGAGGCTGTATTTGGTCCTCAATGTAAACCACAAAATAGATCTCAAATTTGGTCTCAAAAAACTACAGTGTCTAAATATATTAATTAAAAATAAACTTTTCCAAGTGAGGTTGTATTTGGTCCTCAATATGGACCTCAAACTGGATATAAAATTGAGTCTCAAAAAAATACATTGGCTCCTTGTATTAATTGAATTTTAACTTGTATAAATGTGTCTGTATTTGGTCCTTCATTTGGACCTCAAAATAAATCTCAAAATGGATCTCAAATTGATTCTAAAAAAAAAATACATTGGCTACTTGTATTAATTAATATATAACTTGTCTAAATGAGACTATACTTGGACCTCAATTTGGACCTCAAAATAAATCTCAAGATGGATCTCAAAGTGGGTCTCATAAAATACATGGCTACTTGTATTAATTTAAATTTAACTTGACTAAATGAGGCTGTATTTGGTCCTTAATTTGGACCTGAAATTGGGCCACAAATTCGGTCTAAAAAAAGACATTGGCTACTTGTATTAATTAAAATTTATCTTGTATAAATAAGGCTGTATTTGGTCCTCAATTTGGACATCAAAATGGATCTCAAAATGGATCTCAAATTGAGTCTCAAAAAAAAAATACATTGGCTACTTGTATTAATTAGATTTTAACTTTTTTAAATGAGGCTGTATTTGGTCCTTAATTTGGACCTGAAATTGGGTCTCAAATTGGGTCTCAAAAAAAATACATTGGTTGCTTGTATTAATTAATAATTTAACTTGTCTAAATGAGACTGTACTTGGTCCTTAATTTGGACCTCAAAATAGTTCACAAAATGGATCTAAAATTGGGTCTTAAAAAATAAATTGTCAACTTGTATTAATTAAAATTAAACTTGTCCGAATGTGACTTTAATGCGTCCTCAAATTGAACCTCAAAATGGACATCAAACTGGTACCCAAAAAAATACATTGGCTACTTGTATTAATTGAATTTTAACTTGTCTAAATGTGGCTGTATTTGGTCCTCAATTTGGACCCCAAAGTGGATCTCAAATTGGGTCTCAAAAAATACATTGGCTACTTTTATTAATTAAAATTTAACTTGTATAAATGAGGCTGTATTTGGTCCTTAATTTGGACCTGAAATTGGGTCTCAAATTGAATCTCAGAAAAAATACATTGGCTACTTGTGTTAATTAGAATTTAACTTGTCTAAATGAGGCTGTATTTGGTCCTTAATTTGGACCTGAAATTGGGTCTCAAATTGAATCTCAGAAAAAATACATTGGCTACTTGTGTTAATTAGAATTTAACTTGTCTAAATGAGGCTGTATTTGGTCCTCAATTTTAACCTGAAAATGGACCTCAAATTCTGTCTCAAAAACTACATGGCTACTTGTCTTAATTTAAATTTATCTTGTATAAATGAGGCTGTATTTGGTCCTCAATTTGGACCTCAAAATAAATCTCAAATTGGGATTAAAAATAAAAATATATTGTTTGCTTGTAATAATTAAATTTCAACTTGTCTAAATGAGGCTGTATTTGGTCTTCAATGTGAACCTCAAAATAGATCTCAAATTTGGTCTCAAAAAACTACAGTGTCTAAATGTAGTAATTAAAAATAAACTTTTGCAAATGAGGTTGTATTTGGTTCTCAATTTAGACCTCAAAATGAATCTCCAAATGGATCTCAAATTGACTCTCAAAAAAATACATTGGCTACTTGTGTTAATTGAATTTTAACTTGTCTAAATGAGGCTGTATTTGGTCCTCAATGTTAACCTCAAAATGGATCTCAAATTGAGTCCTAAAAAAAGACATTGGCTACTTTTATTAATTAAAATTTAACTTGTATAATTGAGGCTGTATTTGGTCCTTAATTTGGACCTGAAATTGGTTCTCAAATTGGGTCTCAAAAAAATACATTGGTTGCTTGTATTAATTAATATATAACTTGTCTAAATGTGGCTGTATTTGGTTCTCAATTTGGACCTCAAATTGGGTCTCAAATTGGGTCTCAAAAAAATACATTGGCTACTTGTATTAATTGAATTTTAACTTGTCTAAATGAGGCTGTGTTTGGTTCTAAATATGAACCTCAAAATGGATCTCAAGTTTGGTTTAAAAAAACTACAGTGTCTAAATGTATTATTTAAAATTAAACTTATCCAAATGAGATTGTATTTGGTCCTCAATTTGGACCTCAAAATAGATCTCAAAATGGATCTCAAATTGAGTCTCAAAAACTACATGGCTACTTGTCTTAATTTAAATTTTACTTGCCTAAATGAGGCTGTATTGGGTCCTCAATTTGTACCTCAAATTGGGCCTCCAATTGGGTCTGAAAAAAGACATTGGCTACTTGTATTAAATAAAATTTATCTTGTATAAATAAGGCTGTATTTGGTCCTCAATTTGGACCTCAAAATAAATCTCAAATTGGGATTAAAAATAAAAATATATTGGTTGCTTGTAATAATTAAAATTTAACTTGTCTAAATGAGGCTGTATTTGGTCCTCAATGTTAACCTCAAAATGGACCTCAAGTTTGGTCTCAAAAAACTACAGTGTCTTAATATATTATTTAAAATTAAACTTTTAAAAATGAGGTTGTATTTAGTCCTCAATTTGGACCTCAAAGTGGATCTCAAATTGGGTCTCAAAAAATACATTGGCTAAATGTATTAATTAAAATTTAACTTTTTTAAATCAGGTTGAATTTGGTCCTCAATTTGGACCTCATAATGGATCTAATATTGGGTCTCAAAAAAATACATTGGCTACTTGTGTTAATTGAATTTTAACTTGTCTAAATGAGGCTGTATTTGGTCCTCAATGTTAACCTCAAAATGTATCTCAAATTGAGTCCCAAAAAAAGACATTGGCTACTTTTATTAATTAAAATTTAACTGGTATAAATGAGGCTGTATTTGGTTCTTAATTTGGACCTGAAATTGGGTCTCAAATTGGGTCTCAAAAAAATACATTGGTTGCTTGTATTAATTAATATATAACTTGTCTAAATGTGGCTGTATTTGGTACTCAATTTGGACCTCAAATTGGGTCTCAAATTGGGTCTCAAAAAAATACATTGGCTACTTGTATTAATTGAATTTTAACTTGTCTAAATGAGGCTGTATTTGGTCCTCAATGTTAACCTCAAAATAGATCTCAAATTTGGTCTCAAAAAACTACAGTGTCTAAATGTATTAATTAAAAATAAACTTTTCCAAATGAGGTTGTATTTGGTCCTCAATTTGGACCTCAAAATAAATCTCAGAATGGATCTCAAATTGACTCTCAAAGAAAATACATTGGCTACTTGTATTAATTAGAATTTACCTTGTCTAAATGAGGCTGTATTTGGTCCTCAATTTTAACCTGAAAATGGACCTCATATTCTGTCTCAAAAAATAAATAGGCTAAGTGTATTTATTAAAATTTAACTTTTCAAAATGAGGCTGTATTTGGTACTCAATTTGGACCTCAAATTGGGTCTCAAATTGGGTCTCAAAAAAATACATTGGCTACTTGTATTAATTGAATTTTAACTTGTCTAAATGAGGCTGTGTTTGGTTCTAAATATGAACCTCAAAATGGATCTCAAG